TCTCCTTTTAGGGTAAATCATGCTCCTTGACCCAACACAAAACAAAAACCCTAACCAATGCTCCTGATCATACCCTAAGCGAAGATAATGATAATGCATTCCCACTTTTCTGATACCATTATTGAGATGGGAAGTGATTTTGTTTGATGACATCTCATCAGAATTGTACATAGTTTAGTCCAGGATTCTGAAATGATGGGAATGAGTAGCAAACTGACATATGATATGAATGTGAAAATATTTTCTAAGGTCCCTTGCAGAATATGTGTTCTAGATTTAGCACTAGTGCTAAGAATAGAAGCAATATAATTTTCTTCATTTGTGTAACTGTGGGGAACATCAGCAAAGCATTACAGGTACTGAAGTCAATAGCTTTTCTTCCATGTGCCATTTATGTATTGCATTTATGTCCCGTCTATAAAATAAAAATATGCAGGCAAAGAGCATCCTTGGGTAATTATAGCAAAATAACACTAGCAGAAGATAATAGGCAGTAATTTGGTTATAAAGAGTAGAACAAATGAGTCCTAGATGAATATTTATAAATAAAATATTTTTCATTAAAAAGTATTGGTGGAGAATCTTAGTCCCAGATATGTCAAAGGAAAAAAATCCTATTAATTTCAGTGAAGACGGGATTTTGCTTTTTGATGATTTCTTATGACAATAATTTAATAGCATCTCAGAAGAAGTCTTAAATCTAATTTGTCAGCTTGTCTGCACTGTTTATTTGTTTGCATTGTGTTCTGGTATTCTTTGAAGTTAATTTTATTCAATGGTATAAAATGTAAAAAGCAGCATAAGTGATCTATGAATAATAATTGGGAAAAGGATTTATATCTTATTGGTTGTTTTCAATGTTATGCATAATACATACAGTATATGTTCAATGAGATTGTCTTCTTACAGTGCATTTCTCAAAACATGTGTCAGATTTTCCATGACCACACTGGATGTATGCCAATTGTGAAGCTGGTGGTGTTTTCAGTATATGCTATCACCTTGGTCCCCAGTTTCTAAATTGGACTGCTTGCTGTGATTCACAACTTCTGACTCTACTCATGGATTGAGAGTTCCCTTTTAAAGGCAGTAAATAGTGCATGCTATGTTCCCATCTTGGTCTTCCATCAAGTCATGATAAGGTTGTGTGTCTCGACTTGGGAAGGGTCCTCACAAGTAACTGGTGCCAGCATCAACTACAGAATCTTTTTGAATTTGGTTGCAATTTGTGCTTTAAAAGGAATCGCCATCTCGTCCACCTGTCAAATCTATTTTAGGGTAAACAAAAATTTACTGCTTCCTGAAAATGCTCTATATAGTCCTGTAAAATATTCTCAGTGATGCAGGTTACGCACAGTTACTGAGGATTATACAAGGAAAGCACTTGAAGAGAACAGGCTGCTTTTATTAACTAAAAGAAACCCTATCAGAACATATTATAGAGTGTTGAGCTCAGTAACACTGCACCTTCAAACCAGTAAGTACTTCTGCTTATATTTTATAATTCATAAAAACTGATTTAGGAATAATTTATATGACACACGTTTAGTTTTTTGGCAATTTGTGAAAAAGCCAACAAGTTTTAAAAATGTACTTATTGCTTAGAAGTCAATCTATACAATATATATACATTTGTACAAAATTGTATCAACCTATGTTAACTCTCTGAGGCAAGTATTCAGCAAATGGTTCTGAGGAACTGTGATATTCAAAAACATGAAAAAATCATTCACTTGCCTTGGACAATGGTATAGATCAGTATTCCCAAGGGTGCCTATTCCTAATGCAGGAGAATTAGCCTTTAAAATTAGAATTCAGAACAGTCACCACACCGAGCACTGTGACACTGAAGTCAGCCCATAGGAACATGAAAGATAACAACATGTGAAACTCTCTCTCATGTGTTTATGTCACTGCTATAGCTACACATGGCTGTTAAACTGGGTGCTTAGGTGCGTAGCTCTTGCTTCTCCTTTCTACTTTGACACTATGAGGTAGTCATTGAAAAAGGATAGGTCTGGTCCCTGTTCACCGCTTATGCATTTTGCAGTAATGAAAATGAAAAGAAAAAAAACCCACCCAGAACATATGAAACCACAAGAGGAAGTAACCCAGGGATCCCCAAGATACTGTATTTTAAGAGAGTGCTCTGACTGCTCATCAGAGCATTCTGCATCATCTTCTACATCTGCTACGCATGCAAAAACGTGCAGTTCTGGCTACACAGGGCAGCACTTCAGCTTCTTTGGTAGGAGACAAGGAATTAAATGGGTCTTACTGGGCATATGCTTAACTAATTCACCCAATTTTAGCTATCTAATATTTGGACATCTAGTTTAAGCTAGTTACACTTCTAATGTAGTGTGGTACATTGAGGTGTAGACACATCCAGAGTGTATCAGAGTGAATCAGTATTCAACCCAGTTCAAACCAGGATGAAGGAACTGTTATTCAGAAATTCTCTAGAACAAAAGAAGTAGCCAGGATGACTAATTTGAATGTTTGAAATCCTTTGTATTCCTGACTTAATAACTTAAAACTCACAACATTTCCCCACTCTTATTTTTGCAAAAAAACCCACCCTCCTTCATGTGGACATCTTTGGGGAAAAATGTGTACAATTTGTTGAAGATCACTCAAAATAAACAGATAGTTCTTTCATTTGGAAAACATTTCATGCATTGTCAATGGCATTTTTATTCCTTACACTTTAGATGAAGAGTGTTTAATAGTCTCTGTGAAGTATGCTGTTGAACTGTCAGTTCTAGGAACTTGTTTAGATATCCTGATGGAAGAAGTGCAGTCTTGTTGGGATTAGTCTCCAGAAGGATTTCATCCCCTCTACGCTATAGACTTGATTTTGCAATGTACTTAAGTAAGAGTCATTGCTAAGTAGAGCTCTCCAAAAGCAATGTTATGCATAAACCGAAGTGTGTTCTTGAATCATGCCTGTGGTTTGGTGTGACTGTCATTCCCTTTCCTCTGGGTGGGAACGAATCGAGTGGCAAAACTGTATGGGAAATGCCGAAGTACTGCAGTTCTGTGCATCCTTCATCTTCACTCGAACTTAATCTGATTGGGAATAAGGCCAGGTACCCTGGGATTTTGCCTGCCCATCTAAGGGTCCTTGTTACTACTGCACCTTTTTCCTGGCCTCCCCATACATCATCAGAGAAGAGAAAGATGATAGCTCGTTTCTTTGTTGTTCTCCTGAGATAAAGAGACCATCAATGCCCTTTACATTTCTCATCTAGGAAATGACATGCTTAAATAGATTTGCTGTTCCTGCAGAAAGGCAATGGTCTTGATCTTCAGACAAGATTTGTTGAGTTACATAGGTCTGTAAAAAGAGGAGTTTACAATGTAGGTAGGAAGTATGGCCGCCCAAATGGTATACTGGGTTGTTTTGTTTTGTTTTTTTAACTCACTATCTACAGGACATAAGTAAACATCATTGATCAAAGGTGGAAGGATCAAGGTGAAAGGAATTGCACACACTTAGAGATGAGGGAAGCTATTCTATTTTCTGTAGCACAGATTGGTGGGCTCAGGAGGACAGCATTTGAAACAAATATGATATGGTTTCACATAAATTGCCAAAGTCCTCTAGTTTATCTGAAATGCAATGTCCTTAACTCTGTTTATGGTAGATTGGAGCTCACCTGTCACATACATACAGAGAAAAAAAGTGGTGCTGAGATTAGACTTGTTTTATCTGGAAGGGGCAAATATACAGAGAGAATTTTGGGGAAAATAATTCTAGCACTTGCATTGTGTACTGTGCATAGTTAAGATACTGTCCTTTGGTTTTTTTACTCTTCAAGTTACTAAGACAAACTTTATTTAGCTTGGTGCGAGTTAGGGATTTTTGCCAGTCATTAACATAAAGAAAACACATACTGAAGCAAAGGGACCTGCATAGATTTAGGACATCCCTCATATTCTGTTTAATTTCAAGTAGATACTAAATCGTTCACAGATATAGACAAAGGACACAGATGGAAGTGTCATCCTACGCCACTGAGAGGAAGTAATTTACAAACCCTTAGAAAAAAGAAAATGGAACAGCACTTCTTGCCTTAAGTTTCTGTGTTGTCCAATGCATGTGAAATTAATGTCTTCTCAAAGTAACAGCACAATGTGAGTGAGGATGATCTTATAATTATGTGAAATACTACTGAAATCACAATGAAAAATGTTAGTGCTTCAAAATATCTGGAAGGTGGGCAGGGATATCTTTAAATGAGGCTGAAAAGACTTACTTTTCTACTTTTAAGCAAAGTAGGATTTTTTTCTACATAAATCCACATTAGATATACAAAAATAGAAGATGTTTTTCTAGCCAGCTGTAAATTTTATTAATTGCATGTTTATTCTGTAGAGCAATCTGTCTTTTTTTTCAACAAGACACAAGGTAATTCATAATATAATTATTTGAAAGGCCACTGACATGCTTGGAATTAATGATCTGCTCAAATTCCTGTTTAGAGCTCTAATAAGTAAACTCAAAATAAGTTCTCATTACAGAGTTTCCTTCTGTTATTTTATCATTTAAAAATAGATACTTGTTTTTAATTTGATATGCCCTTTATGTTAATAGAACTAGATTTTTTAATGTGGAAAGAAAAAGAGAGGACTTCTATGACAGGTTATCACTTCAGATGGAGTAGGGAATCCACAGATCATCAGTGGAAAAATATCTCTGTTTTTTTTCATGACAATGAATTTACTAACCCTCTCTTTTTTTTGTTTAATTGGGATTAATTATAGATAAAGGAATTTCAGAGTAAATTTCACAAATGTAGTCTGACTGATCTGAACCAGACACTGCCATAATACATCCATATGATCAAAGGGACATCAGACCACATAACGCGAAATTGATTTAATCATGTACCATAAAGGGGCTAAAAATTCCCTTAGAAGGAGATCAATTTTCAATGATACCTACACTGACTTGCTTGTGTATGTTTTTTTATGTTTCCTTTTTTTTCCTCTAGGCCGTACTTTGGAGGTACAAATTTTCCCAGCTCAAAGGTTCTTCAGATGATGGGAAGAGCAAAATCAAATTTTTGTTCCAAAACCAAGATACTAAACAAATTGAAGCAAAGGTAAAAACAATACATTGTTTGTTTTATAAAGGCGATGTACATTAAAAGCAGTTATCAAAGCAGCTAGGGGAACAGAGGAATAAATTAAACTAAATTACTTAGAAATACTAGATTAATGCACAAAGTCAAAGAATGCAAAGAAAACCAAAGAAATTCCAAGAAAAGAAAACTATATCAATCGCATGGATTTTTGCTAGTTTAAAGTCTTTTGAAAGATGTAATTACATTAAAAAGTAATAAAAAACAGGACTTGCTATATGTGGTTTTAGGCATGTTTGCCAACTCTCCTCTTTATCATTTTGATAAAGCCAGCTGAGAGTTTGAATGCCCTGTTTTTCACCCTATACTCATATAGTGAAGAAATGCTGCAAAATATATTCTTAAGTCAACCTGGGGACAAAACCCAGCAAAAGGTCTAAAATTGTTTTTATTTCTCAGAGCAAAAAAGTGTGGATTAAACACATATTCCCTTACAAGACTGAAGCTTTGTGTCTGTGTCTAATTCAAAATCAGAAAAGTTGTATTTTCAGTTGTGCTTTTCATTCAAGAGTTAATTTATGGAAACAGTAACCCTGAGAAATTTATGCTTAGTTTGATTTATGTATTTTGAGAACAGGGCATTTACTGTCCCAATGTGTGTGAGGAGAAGTGAGCTCCCAGGATCTTTGATAACTGGAACTGCCTTAGAGTCTGAACTTAAGGTCTTTTTTACTAGAATCCCAATTTTTGTGTAAGCCTAAAGACTATTTTCTTGGCCATCTTTAAGCCTTGCTATACCGTTTTTCTGACTGTGTCAGAGAGAAAATTGCTGAATGAATGTGATGATAACAATACAGTTCCATGAGCAAAAAGGAAACAGATAAATAAATCATTGTCTAAAAGGGCTAAATATGCACAGCATAATAAAGTATGTAAGAAAAAAAAGGCATTGTATTGGGGGCAGTCATGAGTTTAAATGCAAATAGCTACATTAAGCAGCTATTTTTCCTTCCTGCATGTCTCTTTATATTTGGTATTAATTATTTTCTACCTAACAGCGATTTACTTGATTTTGAATGTTGTACTCAATACAATAAAGGTATGTAAAAGCTCCCATTAAATCAACAGCAATGAAATGTGGTGGACTGTGGCTTTCAATACCTTCATGTTCTGCTACATCTCAAAGATAAATGTTTTCTTACTTCTGATTTCCTTCAGAAATTTTTTTAATAGTACAGAATTTCTTTTCACCTCTAATAAGAAAACATAACTTAACAACCTAATGTTGTGAGGATGATTTTCTCTTAAGCAAATAATTGGAAACTTTTATCATGCTCCTAAGTACAGTTGAAGAATGAAACTCATTATTATTTTTCTAATATCTGTCTGCTATTGCCGTTATATTAAAACATGATTTTTGGGCTAAAAAAATTTCATGGGAATCCAAGAATGGGACAATGTTTCTTTTTTTTCAGTAAAACAAGAATATATTTTTAATACCAAAATAAATTTTAAAAAAATTAAAAACAAAGTATGAAATCTAGATTTTGAAGAAGAAAAACAGTTTTCATCAAATTCTTTTCATGTTTTAAATTAAATCTGTCATCAGATTTAATCAAATCACTTTAGAAGCCTTAGAGATATCCTGGTACCTTTATTGTACCTGTTGTTATTCCCACTCAAACTGAATAGAGATTTATTTCTAGGAAGTTTCATCTTTCTACCTTTTATCAAGGTAGAAATTCTACCTTCTGCCTTATGAATGCAGAATATTATACAAACTTGCTAGCATGCTTATTAATATGCTGTCATGTTCCCTGGTCGCTTCTCTTTATTATAAATTTAAACTTTCATATTGATCAATTTGGAAATAAAAACTTATTACTTTAAATTCATTTCTTGGTGATCAAAGCATACCAATTAAATCAGGATCAAAAAATGTCATCTTATGTTGTCTTTGGAAGGTGCTACGGCATTTATAGTGAGCACTTCTATCCATTCCAATTTGTTTACATATGAAGTATGTTGCTTAGTCCAAGAAATATAGATAAATGTGGCTATAAAATGAATGTGAAGATTCTTGGGTCATATTTTTTCAACTTTTGCTAGTTTAAAATTCTGTGGATAGGCCCCTTCAGTACCCTTTAAGCCTTTCATGGATTTAAAGCTCTATTCAGCATGAGAAGAGGTAGAACAATCTAGCCTCTATTTTTTGGACTTTACTAGCATTACAGTGTTAGAGGTATAGCTATTTGGGGAACTCTTGAGTCATTAGGAAATGTTAATCAGATTTTCAGAAATACTTGTAATGCCAGGTTTCATGCATACTGTATGCAGGCTTCATTTGGAATCAGATGATGGGAATTTTGTAAAACATCTGTTAAAGGTTGTGATGAATATTCATGGCCACAGCTATCATCACCTGTTAAATGCAGCTCTGTGCTTCAGATGGCCTGGAGACCCACTGTTTTAAGGCGAAACACAGCGTAACATTTTCTTTACATAAGGATAATTTTTTGCCACTTATATTACACGGGGAATAACCAGAATATAGTGAAATGACAGCTCACAGCTAAGAACAAAACCAAAAATCTGAGAAGCCCATTGCCCCAACATATTAGGGCTCTTAACTTCTGCATTCCCAAGCAGTAATGTGGAAGCAGGGCATGGCAGATAACTTTTGATACAGCTTAAGACAGTCACTAGAACTGAGAGTGCTTTTTACCCCTTCATCATTAACACTAACACACTCTATGCAGAACCTGCTACGGCGTATGCATACCTGATCTGTGACTCCCGCTTTTCTTGCCTCCAAGGTCTGTTTTCTTCCATCTCCGAGTTTCAGCTATGGCACTGACGGAATGTGTTAATGTATTTAATGCACTATAATTCAGTTACTCTCCGCAAACCTGAGGTGGTCTGGCCACAGGGATTTTTTTTTTGTTGTTGTTTTTTTTTTTAAAAAATATTGCTTTCATCATGGTCGACAACTGTCTGAATATGAGCCGGCAGTGTGCCCAGGTGGCCAAGAAGGCCAACAGCATCCTGGCTTGTATAACAAATAGTGTGGCCAGCACGACTAGGGAAGTGATTGTCCCCCTGTACTCGGCCCTGGTGAGGCCACACCTCAAATACTGTGTTCAGTTTTGGGCCCCTCACTACAGGAAAGACATTGAGGTGCTGGAGCGTGTCCAAAGAAGGGCGACGAAGCTGGTGAAGGGTCTAGAGCACAAGTCTTATGAGGAGCGGCTGAGGGAACTGGGGCTGTTTAGCCTGGAGAAGAGGAGGCTGAGGGGAGACCTCATCGTGCTCTACAACTACCTGAAAGGAGGTTGTAGCGAGGTGGGTGTCAGTCTCTTCTCCCAACAAGGACAAGAGAAAATGGTCTCAGGTTGCACCAGGGTGGGGGTTAGATTGGATATTAGGAAAAATTTCTTCACCGAAAGGGTTGTCCAGCATTGGAACAGGCTGCCCAGGGAAGTGGTTGAGTCACCATCTCTGGAGGTATTTAAAAGACGTGTAGATGTGGTGCTTAGGGATGTGGTTTAGTGGTGGACTTGGCAGTGCTAATGGTTGGACTCGATGATCTTAAAGGTCTTTTCCAATGTAAATGATTCTATGTTTGTATATAATTCCTTCCAGTAAAAATATGAGTTATCAAAATCAAAATGCTTCCTGTCTTCCTTCATTTACAATTTTGTGTATCTCATGCTATCCCAGATGTGTGTGATTATGGCATGTTGTATCTGTGTGATAATATCCCTTAGCTTTAGAACACTTATTCTTTATCTAGAGAATTAAGAGTGTCAGTGCTTAGCTATTGAATTTTGATCCAAAATGCAGAGAAATTGTTATTATTCTAGAAATACCCTCAGACTTGTCGATGGACATTGCTTGGAAAAAAAAAAATGCAGCAGCATTTTAAATTTTAGCCATACTGTCTTCATAAATGTCCAGCACCTCCTCTGTATTCTGGTGGAATATACAGAGATATCACTGTTAATCTTAGAAGAATCTAGGAAAAGTACTTTTTGAGAAAAAATGCAGAACCACATCCATTCAGGAGTCAGCTTTTTTTTTTTTTGAGAAACACTTGCCAACAGAGTTTATATTCCTAAGTGATAGAAAGTCCTTCACTGACACTGAATAACTAATATTTTTATAATGCTGTCAAAATTTTTTATAGTGTGCTTCATGCCTGACTTAACAAAATTCAAAATGGCATGCTTTGAGACACAAAGCATGTGCTGTGGATTTAGTTATGGTTTAACAGGGTATACTTCTTTTCAGCTTGAAAATAATTTAAGATATTTAAACATTTGCATTATTCTCTCAGATATTGTTAAAATACTGCTTTTTTTTCTGTAGAGCCTTTGTGCTGATTCTTTTGTTTGGCTTCTCTGCAAGTAATATCATCTTACTATAAAGATATATAGTGTAGTATAAAAGTGTTTCCTCGTAGATTTAAGTAATTTCAGTCTGAAAAATCTGAACAGTAATTACCATAGGTCACACCAGTGGGTCCATGGCAGGGTGCCTGGATGCAAACACCTAACTTTGAAGGTCTCTAAGGCAAGGTCTAAGTGGGTTCTGAGAAGAAAACCACTTAGGGGCAACATTAATCACCAATACCCCTTAGACATTCCAATCTGTAGGTTATTTCCCAGCTGTCACTCAGCAGGAGATATTGCACAAGTTTGCACAGTCAGACAGAATTTTTCTGACTGAGAGCTACAAAATAGAGCTGTCGGCTTGGCAGAATGTGGAGCCTACGTGTCCCTCTCCTTCGTTCTTACTGAGCTGTTGGGGTTGGGTTGAAAAAACCAAGCACAAAAGGGCAAAGCTTTCTCCTTGTCTATGAGACACAAAGGGATTCATTTAGGCACATTCCTACCTAGTTACCTATCTATTTACCTATTTGTTTAGCTATAGTTTAATGATCCATTAGTGTCTCTCCACTACCACAGCAGCTTCCAGAGGCTAACACAATCTCAGGACTGTAATAAACTCAGAGTGTTGTGCTCTTCAATTTTACCTGGCTAAGTATTGGAGCACTGCAATAAAAACTGCTTTGTATTTTCCTGACAAAAATGGAGAGTATCTTAAACCCATGAGAGATCCTGTTTCAATATATATATATGCTCCCAAACGCATATAAAAATCAGCATCAGCGCTGTTTTTCTTATTACATGCAATTGCCATTTGAATTTTGTAAGTAAATGCACCAATCAGTGATTTCTGTGAACTGAGAGTTTCTGTGCCTTGTAAAACATATGTATAACTCAAAACCTACACTTTGGTCGCGCTTTCACCTTTCTCAACTTGCAGGGCTTTTTCACAGCTCAACAGTTTTGTCAGAAAAATTCAGGCGAGGTCACACAGCTGTGCTGGGTTAGGTTAGCTTTTGCTCACAGACTAGCTGAACCCCTAAGCTCAGTGTTACAAAACCGAAGTGAATACAAAAATCAGCACATCAGGATGAAGATCCAATCATCTTTCTCTATCTGAATATGCAGAACAGAAGAGGGCAGAAATATGGTATCAGCAAAGGAAGAAGTGTAACTTCAAGGATTTAGCATCAGCACTTACGAATTAATTAATACTACCTTAATAGTAATTAATGCCATTTAATTTGTACTTGAAATTATGTTGTGTAGAAATCTAAAAATAAGACAAATAGCCTGAGTACTAGCTGTTGTAATGTGAACAAAATGCTCACTTTCAAGTGTTTCAAGGTGTCGTGATGGATGCTTGCACCATTTTCCAGGCTGACATTTCTGCTCATTTCAAGTATATTCTCCAAAATACAATTCTGAATTAATCCTTGTTCTTAGCCTTGAGGGTTTTTCTGTGAGCATCACAGTGCTCTTCAAATTTAGAATATCATCTTTAAATGGGTTTTAAGTATACATCCTTAGGATTTTTACAGGGTGATTGCTCAATTGCAGTGGTTGCATTCTGAGTTCAGATTTCTGACCTGTGTAGGTTTGTGTGATTCAATTTTTAGTTTCCTCATGTCTTGCACATGGATTATCTGTTTAATATCTATTTTAGATATCTATTTTCTATGCTAATATAGAGAGTTCATGTAACACCACATTTGATAAAAGAACAAATATCTTCTCATATCAGCAGTTTATATATGGATGAAAGAAAAGATTTTTTTCTGACCATATCATGAATACTTACAAACTTACAATTGCTTGATTTTGTAGATGTATTGTTTATGTAGTTGTATCATTAATATAATGCAATAACAGTTGTGGGTTTTTTTTTCATCTGGGAGCACTCCCTTTCTGTTTTCTCCTTCCATCTCTGTCAATCCAGACTTTCTTTGTGAAAGGTTATTAGAATTTCCATACACTTCTGACCATGCTCAATGACTGCATCTTTCTCACATACCTTTCTGCCCACTTACATCATCCTCAGCAGAAACGGTGAATGTTCAGATTAATAATCTGGGAATTTCTGGTATAATGACAGCAATGTAGGGTGAGAGTAGTTTGATCAAGAGATAGCTTAGAAAGACAATTTGAAGACCAGAGGCTACACTGAAATTCCTAGGAGAGTAGAGTCTTAGGTGAAGTGTACAGCCAACAGTCTGGAAATTGGAATAATAGTAAATTTTGTACTTGTACATGGACAAGTAGATGTGGCTTAAGTTTGGATTTCTTTGCTTTTTTGGGATTCAGAGCATTTGCTTTTCCCTACTGGGAGCAACTTTATTAGCTTCACTGCATATTTCCTCAGGTTTCTTAGGGTTTGCCTGTTTATTTGAAACTTCATCTGTAGCTGGGTGTGCAATACCCTGCCTAGATGAAAATGTATTCAGACAAGAAGATGACTGACGACAAGGTATATACAAAAACAACCAGAGTTGGCTAGGCGTGCGCAAAAGCTTGTGGGTTCCCCTCCATCTGCTGGCAGTAGTGCAGACCTGTGGGCAGCTAAAAGTGCAAGTTCTCTGCAGAAGTGAGGGAATGTTTTGTCTGTCTGCAGCTCTACATGAAGTCTTATCTGTTCATTAAGCTTTCTTGTGATTAGGCTAATCTGCCAGAAAAGTGTTGTTCCTGATAGATCCCCTTCCCATCAATCAGACTTCTGTGAACTGAGCTGCAGCCATTAATCAGGGCTGTATGTACTCACCACATACCAGTCAGCCTACTGTGCTTCACATTGCTTTAATTTCTAGTTAAATATGCATGTCTTCTTTGAAATAGGAATAATGTTTCAAGGCAAATCATAATTTAGCATTTGCTGACTTCTTTGTGCTCATCTTTGCAGTCAAGGTAATTTCTGCGTTGCATCATTACTATCAATAATAGTAAACCAATGGGACCTTCAGAGGCTGTTCTGTTGCCTCACCCATTTTCCTTGAAGGTCCATTGAGCAAGTGTCTTCCCAATGTGTTACTGTTGCAGAAACACTTGTGATAACCATGGGT